TTTTTAAATTGATTGAAAGTACTTTCAGAGAAAATATTTTGGGGTCCAAACTGGTGCTTCTTACGAGAATCACTTAAAGTACTTTTCCGTGATTCACTAGCATTTTTACTAAAAATTAGTTCAAAAAACATTTTCATTAAAAACGCCCTCTATCATTTTAAAAACACTTCCAAACTAGTCCTTATTATTGTCTCCTATACACTCTACTTCCTCATCCATGACATAATAAGTTAAGAGCAAATTTATAGAATTTGCTTATATTTGTTGCCTACAATAATCTTTCTTCCTTCCATATAATCACCAAACTAATATTACCTATTTTTTCCTAAACAAATATTGCTATATATATAACGTGTGGTATACATGTATACATATATACATGAAGTGGCATGCATGTATGAATTTAATAATTTGCTACCAAAGCCTCAATCTAATGTGGAAAGCCGAAGCACACTATTACAATTTCAAACATAAAAATAAGATATGGACATTATTTGGTGAAAAGTGAAGGAGAAAAATGGACAATGCTCATAAATTCGGGAGTGGTGATGTGCACGCTTGTGTTTTCTTCTTCTGCACTAATTCCTTGTATTTGTCTATTATTTTTTCTTCGATTTATTAGTCTAAAAATTAAAAAAAAAAAAAAAATTTAAAAAGAGTGTAAAAATCATTTTTTTTTTTATAATTCGTAATAAGATTAAATCATTATATTAGCTTTGACTCCTGAAAATTATAGACCTTAGTAGGACCTCCAAACAACTCTGTGAAAGTTGAAGCTTCCCCATCAAAATATATAAACAAAAGCAGATTATCTGCCTTGGAGTTGAGTTTCATATCACCACCACGGCCTGCAGATTGAGACCAACTTGGCAGAAGCTTTGAGATTACTTCTCTCTCTCCCTCTCTCTCTCTCTCTCTCTCTCTCTCTCTCTCTCTCTCTCTCTCTCTCGCTGTCTCTGTGGAGCCAAGTTGAAGGGAATTAGTTAGAATTGGTCTCTATTCAAAGAGAAACGAAATAAGCAAGAGAGCAACTGAGAAGGACAATTCCCCTCCACCAAAAAGCCAAAAACCATTTTCTTGAAGACAACCACGTTTCACCAAATACCCAATTAAACAAATCCCATTAATCTAATATTCCCTTGCTAAAAATCCCTTAATTCTCTCTTAATCCACACCTTCATGTCTCATACTTCTTTCTTATATTTTCCTTCTTCTTCCTCCCGCTCTCCAACTCCCTCTCTCTTTTCGACTCTCTCTCCCATGCAGCTACCTCGCAGAAAAACTCTCTCTCTCTCCGAATCTGCGGCAATGAAGGTACGCAAGAACAATAACCTCTCCGTCTTCGTCGTCGTCTTTTCGGTCTTCCTCTTCGGGGTGTTCATGTACAATGAGGACGTGAAATCCATTGCTGAATTTCCATTCTCGAGCCACAAAGCTCAAGAATTCCAGGAAGAACTACAGTCGTCGAAACGGAGCGACCCGGTTCAAGAAACGAAACAGACCGACTCTGTTCAGGAAACCCACAACAGAGTGTCTCTGAGCTCGAGAACCCAACTGGAAGAAACCCATTTGGAGAATCACAATTCAGAGGAAACCCAGTTAGAAAATCACAATTCAGAGGAAACCCAGTTGGAGAATCACAGTTCAGAAGAAACCCAGTTGGAGAACAACAATTCGGATGAAACCCAAGAGCCGGTTGATCTGAAATCCATCGTCGAACAACACGAAGATCAGAAGATTGAATTGTTGGGTTCTTCTCAGGAAGAAGAGGAAGAGGAGGAGATTGAACTACCGCCGGAAGATTGCGATTTGTTCAACGGAGATTGGGTTTTCGATCCGGTGACTCACCCTTTATACAAAGAAGAAGAATGCGAGTTCCTTACGGAGCAAGTGACATGCATGAGGAATGGAAGGAAGGACTCTCTGTACCAGCATTGGAGATGGCAGCCCAGAGACTGTAATCTCCCAAAGTATGAATCTTTAACTGTTAATTACTGGTTTTGAATTTTGATTTCTGGGTTTTTGTTTAATTATGGTTTTGATTATTGTGTGGATTAGGTTTAATGCGAGATTGTTGCTGGAGAAATTGAGGAACAAGAGGCTGATGTTTGTTGGAGATTCACTGAACAGAAACCAGTGGGAATCCATGATTTGTTTTGCTCAGTCTGTCGTTCCTCCCGGCAGGAAGAGCTTGGTGAAGAATGGCTCCCTCTCTGTTTTCAGAGTTGAGGTAAACATATTCATTTTTCTTCTTTACCTTTTCATAGGTTCCATTCATTTAGTAGATAAAATAATTCCTGCATGGCCCACCTAATGAATTGATAGCCTTGTCAGCAGTTCACTTGCAATTTATGATGAATTTTAAAAAAAAAAAAATTGGTCCAAAAGATTAAAAAAAAAAAATTTATGAGAAAATTTTGGGTAAGTTGTTGATGACGTCATCATCAACCCACACATGGAGATTTTTCAATGTGTCAAGAGCACGATTAGGTACGTTAAGTGTAATAATATAATTAGTTAGAAACTTGAAGAATTTTTTTAATAAATTGTATTATAACACTTAATGTATCGAATCGTATTCCTAGCATACTAAAAACTTTCTCCCAAAACTCTTACAAAAGAATAAGTTCTCGTACATTTTGATTCCCTCTAATTCTACATGGTGGGAGAGTAGCCCTAGTAAGACAAGATTTTCGAAGTTTCCCTCGTTATTATTTCAGTAAGGAGCCGTTATTTTTTGTGAAAAAATTAGAGTTCGAAAGGTGTCTAAGAATTTTATATTTTATGATTTTAGTAAGTTATTTTTGCATATTCATCGGACTTTATTTTACAGTTAAATAAATTGTAAGAAATCGAGCAGTGTTCATATTTATGATGTAGAGGTAATTTCATGTCTGGCATTGTAGATTGCTTGGCAGACACATATTTTGGGAACTATCTAAATATTCTTAGTTTTTGTTTTGTTTAATTATGTGGTTTTAGGACTATAATGCCACGGTGGAATTTTATTGGGCTCCATTTCTGGTGGAGTCAAATTCAGATGATCCAAACATGCACAGCATATTAAATCGAATAATAATGCCCAAATCAATTAAAAAGCATGGTGAAAATTGGAAGGGCGTCGACTATCTAATTTTCAACACATACATTTGGTGGATGAACACTTTCAACATGAAAGTTCTGTAAGTAGCCAAATTAAACTTGCTCAAAATTTTAAAAAGCTAATTTCTTAGCAATTTCAAGAAGTTGATGTGTTTTTATTTGTTGTTTCGACTAAAAAGACGAGGTTCGTTCGATCAAGGGGCGACGGAATACGATGAGATCGACCGGCCGTGGGCGTACCGGAGAGTCATGAAGACTTGGGCTAAGTGGGTGGACAAGAACATTGATCCTAATCGGACTACCGTTTTCTTCAGCAGCATGTCTCCTCTTCACATCAAGTAATTTTCTCGCACGTCTTTTTTAATTATTTTCTTATGCTTCAAAATGTGGAAACAGTTTTGTCTAAATTTGCTTTTTTTTTTTTGGGAAAAAAAAAAAAAAAAAAGACAACGTAAAACAAAAGCATAAAAAATAACGTTTGACGAAAAACAAAATATAAATAATAATAACGAATTCTCTACAATTACACAGTTAAAAGTATGCACAAGCACATGCCTACTAAAGAATCTTAGTTTAGTGCGTACGTAGGTTAGGCTGGGTGCATAGTTTCTTTCACCTGTTTTGCGCATCCGAAATTGAATCTCCCTCTCCTCCATAAGAGTAGTTTAAAATATCGGTGGTTGAATAAAAGAATCTAAGTTTGGTAATTCTTCACGTGGTTCTTGTACCTAATTAACTTATTTGCAATGGTTTAAACTTAAACAAACTTAATGGCAACCATTTTTTTTGTCATTTACCCAAATTTTTCTTTCAATCATTAGCTTGTGAGGCAAGCCTACGCCTAGTAGATTGGTTGAGAAAGTGCATTTAGCTTAAGGCAAAAATACCTGTCTCCTGTTTTTTTTTTGGGTTGTATGTTCTGTAAGTAAATATAATATAATATAAATATCTGCATGTGATCTAATATCATATTAAATATTGTGTCGAATTTCTGCTCATACGTCCCAGGTTTAATACTTTTCCTTTCCTTGTAATAATTTTAAACCTCTTCCTTCCCTAATTAAAAATAATAATAATATAATAACATCCCTTAGGTGAGCGTGAGCTGTTGGGTGGTTGATTGTGGGTATATGAAAATGAACCCCAAAGCTTTGATTCGACCCTAATCTTTGGTTGGTTAACGACTACATATCTATTTCTAAATGGATAATCATAATACATGTCCTTTAATCCCTTCCACTTCCAACATAGAGAGCACATTATTCTTCTCACAAAAAATATAAACCAACTCCTACATTTCTGTTCCATTTGACGTGAGAGTTGTTGTAATCTAATAATCTTACCAAAGCTTTTTCGTACTGGTGCATTATTTGATAACATAATTCACGGAGTCTACGACTTTTCTTCCAACCCTAATTGACGTTTGTGGTGTAATAGGAGCTTGGATTGGGACAACCCAGATGGCATAAAATGTGCAAAAGAAACCACACCGGTTCTGAACATGACAACCCCATTGGAAGTGGGCACGGACCGCAGGCTATTTGTGATTTCAAGCAACATAACAAAATCAATGAAAGTGCCCGTCTACTTTCTCAACATCACAACCCTCTCCGAGTTCCGCAAAGATGCACATACCTCAGTCCACACCATCAGGCAAGGCAAGCTGTTGACGCCGCAGCAGCAAGCCGACCCGGCCACTTACGCAGACTGCATCCATTGGTGCCTCCCCGGGTTGCCCGACACGTGGAACGAGTTTCTTTACTCACGTATCATCTCCCGCTCTTGACACATAGGAAAATCCGTACACTCTGCCCCTTGTTTTTTATAATTTTTGTTTTAATTTTGGGGTCCACTATTTCATGTAATTTCTCTCCTCAGTTTTTACTTTCTTAGGAACATTTTTTCTTTTTTTTTTTGTTCTTTTATTCAGCCAATTTGACTAAAAGGTGAGAGCTGAATGAGGATGCTAATTTTTAGCCAAAGTCTCACAAAATTTGCTTAGGCTGAAAAGGGACTCTTTGGTACCACCCCCTCCCCCCAAAAACCTGAATTGTAAAATTCATATTCCAAAAAATAATAAAGAAAACGCAAAACTGTATGTCCTGTCCTCTTATCTTATCCTATTTTTACTTCTAGTCTTGGAAATAACGACTAAGTTCCCGATAATTTTAATGGAGACTTTTGACGGTTAAATCTTGGTCACTGGCTCCTTGATCAAGAATCTAACAGTGAACAATTGTGTTGGATACAGTACCTCAAGCATACTAGAAAGGGAAATTTATGTGAACCTATAGAACTTCTTTCTACACACAACTTACTCTTTACACCTATATCATTATTAATTAAATTGTCAATATCTCTTTGAACCCATATTTACTGCCTAAACTAACCTTACAAACGCAATTCAACATGTAATTTATCTTTACACCCATTTAAAAGTTAAAAAACCAAAATCAAATGAAAATAGCTCATGCAAAAACAATGAAACAAAGTATGTAGCTATTGTTGGTTTGGCTAATTAGAATTTAGGTTGCAAATTATCAGTATGGTATTATAACGAACGCACACATGAGAAACTTAATTAATCCATGTTGCCTATTATCTGACCGTTAAAATCTTTGAATCTTGAATTAAGAAGTAGCTTTTGATATGTAATCCAATAAAAATTTAAATTAAAAATTAAATTTAAAAATAAAAAAAAAAAATAAATAAATAAATAAAAAAGAAGCACGATGTTATGGTTATGTTATGTAAATTAAGAAGTAGAAGACTTGGTAAATGGTGTCCAAAAAGAACAAGAAAAGACTTGGCAGTGTCAGTATATGGCATATAAATTAACAATTCAACTCTTGCATAAATCGATTCATACTTTAATTGGAGGATTCAAAACTTCAAAATTACCGTCCATCCGTAAAAAAGAGCTTGATTTTCTCTATGAGAGCGAAAAACCTCTAACGGCACCCTACTATCAAGACAAATAAAAGGTTTCGTGTTTAATTGCGACATTTTACATATACCTACTTCAAACAATATACATGTAAGGTTCTGTAATGCGGAGGCTGTCTAGCAGATGAATGCGACATGCTCCACAGAAAATGATTATCTAAGGGCGGAAAGCAAAGAACAGATCATACCTTCGCGTCTTGAGACATATTCTGCAACGAATCTTCACCGTACTCTGTACAATCCGTGCCTCATCTGCTCTCGTTAGATGAAAAAAGATTATCTATCGCGGGCAATAGCATTGATTGGAGGTCCCTCGGAAATAGTAGATGTAAAAAGGGACCAAAGTTAACGAGGACTTGAGCTTGGGCTTGACTTTCCTCCACAAGCCATCTTAATTACAGAAGGAGCTGGTACACCGAACCACTGAAGGTACCAGAGAGAGTACGAGCGTTTAATCTCCATGGAATTCCCATTTGGCCCACCTCCCAGAATAACATATATTACAAAGTCGTCCTTCAAGTCCTGAGAACAGTTAGGAGCTCTTCCACCTGCTTCCAAGACATGCTATAAAGTTGATGAACAAGCGCCTCTCGAAGCAGTGGATCTTCCGCTTAACAAAGTCTCGTTGTAGGCTAGTGCAAGCTGCAGTCAGAAGGGGGTGGATGAAAATACAGTGCAACAAATTATGTCATTAAGAAACAAAAGAAAAAAAGTTGATGCGATATCAATCATTTGCAAATTTAACTTGTTTTTTTTCTTTCTCCAGTTATAGCAAAGTTACATATTCAACTCATCCTAATTCAATTATGATCACCTACGTTTTTTCGACCACTTTTTTTTTTTTTTTTTTTACAATGTGTTTTCTTGATCATTAAACAGGAAAACCATACCGATGTTCAACTCTAAGGAATTGATATAGTTTTTGGCATCATTTAATATGAAAAAGTTAATGAAAGTTATAACTAGGGCAAACTGAAAGGTCAATAGAATACTACCTTAAGATTACAAATAGCAAGAGAGTCGG